TAAAGGGGCAGTCTGATTTTTTTAGTTGAAAGTTTTTACTTAACTCCACATACCTTAAGATTAGCTAAATCTGTCTTGTCCCATTCAAATATGGCGCTGGATAGCCGGGACATGAAGGTGCCATATAATGGATGACTCTCTGAAGTGCAACCAAGGGCAAGGGCAAGGCGTCGCATAAAATGCCATATATAACGACTCCAGAGATGTGGAACCTCTGGCACAGCGATACACAGGAAATTTCTCCCTACCTTTCGACATGTCACCTGTCACTGTATAAAGCTGGAGGCCTAGAAAACAAATAAAGAAGGCAAACATATTAAGACGAATTTAGCATTTGACACTTATTTCACTGGTTTAGATATTAAAAGATTTTCAGTTTTTATGTTTAGTTTACCTTCCATATCTTGTATGAAGGCAACATGCTTTTTCTGCTTGCTCCAGATTGTGTTGAGCTCTTCCTTCAGAATGGCAACACCAAGTGAATCTGTTACCCCTGTCAAGCTCAAAATAAGGGATTCAATTTCCTCCGTTGTTTTCTTTACACCCCTAGTTCTTCTGCGACAATGCCTATAGCGTAAAAGAAATGATTCAAATATATTTTCAGATTACTACAAGGCTGGTCATCGGATTAGAATTTACATCGATTATCTTTCTTTCTTAATTATGTTAATTATAATTTACCTCTCTAATTCTCTCCGAAAAAAAAGAAAAAAAAGGGATTTTCAAGTTAAAGGGGCAGTCTGATTTTTTCAGTTGAAAGTTTTTACTTAACTCCACATACCTTAAGATTAGCTAAATCTGCCTTGTCCCATTCAAATATGGCGCTGGATAGCCGGGACATGAAGGTGCCATATAAAGGATGACTCTCTGAAGTGCAACCAAGGGCAAGGCGTCGCATAAAATGCCATATATCGAGACGGATTTTTAAATCTGTCCACTTGGAAAACAGGACCTTAAAAAAAAAAAAATCATGTAAGTAGCTTTAAGGCCATGATGAATATAAAATATGTTTTTTTCTTAAATAACTACAATTTCGTAAGTGTGTACGGTACCTTAAACTTGGATGGACCATCTTGGTTGCAGCATTCACGGTCTGTGTAGAGGCACTTGGGTAGATCTTTCTGTGAATTTTCTTATCTTGACATCAATCCCTCTGCCATCTCCCTTAAACTATCAATAGATTCAGAAATTGTCAGGACTGACATCAAAATTTCGCCCCTCTCGTTGCCACATTGGTTGCCCATTGAGCACTGTTTGCAGCCTTTCCTTGAAGTTTTTTGCACATCTGAAAGAGTAATTATACATCAAATTCAAACATTTGTTTATGGAAAGTCATCTTTTTAAAATTACTGTGCATTTTTTGTACTGCTTTCAACATAAATGAAATAATTTACCTTTTTGGTTGAATCAATTTTCAATATGGTGCCATAGGTTGGTGTTATCATAGCCTTCAAGGTTCCATCCGGTTGAAAACACCCCTCACATAGTGACAGCTCCAACAACAGCTTTCATGGTTGGTGCTTCAGCATAACTATGTTGGCTGATACTGAGAGACTTCAAACCCTTCCTATGTTTCTGGCAGTCTTCAATGTATACCAGCTGTTGTCGAAGCCATTCTTCAGAATGTATTTCCTGCAAAGAAACAACAGCACGATCACAGGCATACTTGTGAGTGAGCAGAACAGGAAACCGTGACTTTACTGCATCACTTAGTTGTTGAAGTAGTCTGGTGTCATACGATATGTACTGCCCTAAGCAAATTCGACAGTACATATATTCTGCTGCAAGGTAATAAAATTCTTTCACATTCATGACCATTCTTACTCGGTCGTAGAGGCCCTTTGAACGGAGGGAATTGTCGGCACAATTCACAAACACCGGGCACTTGAAATCTACACCAAGCATTTTTCGGGGCATCCACAAGAATAACTTAGGCTGGAAATACATCCGGACATCTGGCATTCCAGTGTGTAAACGTGAAGGGGGTAACCACCAGAATTGCAATACATCCTTCAAGCGACCCTTGGCTACAAACAGTGATTTTCCCACCCACTCACGGTCAGCTTCCACCATATTCTGTTGCCATCCCATTGGTAATCGACTTGCATACTCCGTCTTGACATCTTAAGAGGAAGGGGTAGAAGTAGAGGGTTGTTCGGACTTAGAAATAGAAAAAAAAACCTTACTTTACTGACTTTTGAGGAAAATATTTCATATCATTACAATTAATAGAACATTTCCATACCTCTGTTTACTGACTTATGAGGAAAATGATTTCATATCGTTATAATTTATAGAACATTTCCATACCTCTGTTGAAAGTGTCGGATGTATTTAATCAGCCAGTACCGTTATATCCCCCTGCCCACTTTCTGCCGAGGTGACTGTAGCTGATGGTGCTCGAATGAGATGTACTGGGTTTAGTCGTGGCCTATGAAATAGAAAAATACACCGGTATAGCATTTGTATTTAGAATATGAGATGAAAAACCCTCTATCTAGACTAGAATTCATGTACAGTCAAAGTTGAAAAGAAAAGCAATAGATTTACCTTTTCTTTATGATATTCACATGAACACTGTACAACATTACCGAATAGATCTTTCTTGACAACAGATTTATGACGAGGACAGTTGTCTATGGCTGTTAATTCTTTGGCCCAGCGCGAACCAGTTGATGGTCTTTGACCACGCCCAAACAAAAAAGTTCCCGAGGCATAATCGCTGAG